AGCAGGGATTCGCATACTACTGAGTTTAAGTGGTATAAATTGAAACCAGAGTGTTTTGACTTTAGGATGTTCAGTATAATTCCCATGATGACAACAAAGAAGCTGCTGAAGAATATATACAAAAAAGAAATGAGAGAGGAATGGGAGAAGGGGACAAAGACAAGTTTTATAAACTTAGAAATAAGTTATAAAATGAGTTAGCTGTGGGATGTCATGTATAGTTTGATGTGACTATAGTTGATAATATCGAAGGGAATATTTGAAAGTCCCGGTGAGAATTGGTCTTAAAGGGTCTTATCTCAGGGAAAGAAAGAAAGAAAGAAAGAAAATGTTGTAGCTGTGTAGGTGATGAGTATTAACTCAGTGCATGCAAATATAAGTCATGATGTCACACCTGAAACTAGTGATGTTATATGCCAGTTTTACCTAAGGTAAAATTAAGGAATTTAAACATTTTACTACAGAAAAATAAACTAATTATAAAAGAAGACAGTAATTTAGAAAATGAGGGCTAAAAACAAGCAAACAAAAAAGCTCATAGAAAACAAATCACATGATGTCACAACTACTTATTATCGGTATTTTCAATGTAAATGGATTCAAATCTCCAATCAAAACACAAGTTGACAGCATGAATAAAATTAAGTGATCAATTTTTATTGTGTTTGTAAACGTTCATTTTTGATCCAAAGATAAAAATAGAAAGGGGAAGGATGGACAACATTGTCCAAGCAAATCGTAATTAAAAAAAAAAAACAGGTATGGCAATAATAGTATCAGACAAAAAAGTCTTTAAGGAGATTACAAGACAAAGGAGGACATTGTCTGTTAGTAAGAGATTCAGTTCAACAAGAGTATATAAGTTACCAACATTTACAAACCTAATGACAGACTATGAAAGTTGATAAAAACTGGGAATTGAAGGAGAATGTAGTCATACAATAACGGTTGGAGATTTCAGTACCCCAGTCACCATAATGGATAGAGCATGTAACTCAATAGAGCATATAAATTAACTACATCTAACATACATATACTGGTCATCCAACTAGAGTGCATATTCTTCTCAAGTGTGCTAGGAACATTTTCCAGAGTAGACCATTTGTTTCCACCAGGAAACAAATCTCATAGATTTAAAAAGATGTCATACCAGGTATCTTCTCAGACCACACAGGATAAAAGTTTGAAAGTTAGAAATCATTAACAAAAGGAAATATGAAAAATTTAGAAAAATGTGGCCATTAAACACCTTTACATATTAATGTATCAAAAGAGAAGTGTCAAGGGAAATTAGAAAATACATAAAAATGAGAGCATCACACACCAAAGCTAATAGAAAAAAAGTGGTACTGACATTAAAAAGACAGGAAATACCAGTGTTAACCAACTAGCTTTTCAACTTATCTAGGCAAAAGAAAATCAAAACACAAAGCTAGTAGAAGGAAAGGAATAAAGATTCGAGATAAATAAAATAGAGAATACAAAAATAAGAAATCAGTAAAACTAAAAGTTGGTTCTAAAGTGATCAACAAAATTGACAAATACTTAATGAGATGCAATACACAAAAGGCTTAATTTACTAAATCAGAAATGAAAGTATGGACATAACTATTAATTGTATAGAAATTACATGCCAATAAATGGGATAGACTAGATGAAGTAGGCAAATTCCTAGAAACAACCCACTAAGTTAATCATGAGGAAGTAGAATATTTAAATAGATAATATATAGTAAGGAGATTGAATCAGTAATCCAAAAATTTCCAAGTTGTGGAAACCATGAGACCTGACAGTTTTACTGGTGAAATTTACCGAACATTTAAAGGAGAATTAACACCAGCTTTTCTCATACTTCTCCCAATGTATTTAAACGGGGTGGGGGTGGTGGGTATGGATCCTAAACAATACCCTGATACTAAAGCTAGGCAAAGACAATAGGAGAAAACTATAGATAACCAGTATCTCTTGTGAATATTGATATAAGATCCTCAACAAAATACTAGCAAATAATTCAGCACATTAAAAGAATTTTACATCTTGGCCATATAAAATTTATTCCTGATGAAGATGATCCTAATATATTAAAATCAGTAATTACAATTTGCCAGATTAACCTCTGACCAAATAAAAACACAGGATCATCTTGTTGATGTTGAAAAAACATTTGACAAAATTCATTACTCTTCCATGATGAAAACAGCCTAGGAACAGAAAGACACTTCCTTAACATAATAAACACCATTTATGAAAACCTCACAGTGAATATCATATATTGGTGAAACACTGACAGCTTTTTCCTTGAGGAACAAGACAAGGATGCCTGCTTCCACTGTTCTATTCAACATAGTATTGGATGTTCTAACCATAGCAGTTAGCTAGGATAAAGAAAAGGGATTCAAATTGAAAAGAATAAAAGACTTGCAGGTAGGATATATGTTGAACGTTCTAGATTCCTCAAGAAATAACCTGTTAGAACTAATGAATTCAACATTGTAGCAGGTCACAAAAGTAACACACAGTTGCATTTCTATATAAATGTATTTCATGCATTTCTATTCCTTAAAAGGAAATTACAAAGCAGTACCTAAACTAATAATAATAAACTAATAATATACTTTGGAATCAATCAAGGAAACGAAAGATTAATATAGTAAAAATGATAAAACATTTCTGGGAAAAGCTAAAGACATAAAGGGCAACACCCCATGTTCACTAACTGAAAGACTTGGTAATATTAAGACACTAATTCTACCCAAAGCTGTCTGTAGAATCAATGAAATATCAAAGTCTCGATATTTTCGCAGATAAAATAACCATTCTAAAATTCATTTCTAATAAGGAACCCCCCAGTAGTCAAAAACAATCTTGAAAAAGAACACGACTGGAGGGTCCATGTATTCTAATAGCAAAATTACTATAAAGCTACAGTAATCACAGCAGTGTGGTATTACACAAAGACAGACATGCAGACCGCAGTGGAATAGAAAGCTCAGGCATAAATAGTTCCCCACTCATGGGTTAACTGACTCTTGACAGAAGTGCCAAGATCAGCATCAAGAAAAAATGGTCTTTTCAACAATTGGTGCTAGGAAAACAGGACACCTATATACGAAAGAAAGATTGTATCCTTATCTAATGCCATATATAAAACTATTCAATTTATTCAAAATGGATCTAAATGTAAGATTTAAAACAGTAAGGTTGTTTAAAGGAAACATAGTACATTTCACAACATTAGTTTGACAATGGTTTTTTTTTTTTTGATATAGCTGTAATAGAAGAAAAAGGTAAAGAGAAAAAAAACACTTTAAAAATTGTGTTTCCTAAAACAATATCCACACATTAAAATGTAAATCCACAAAAGGGGAGGAAATAACTTGAAATTCATGTGTCTGATAAGGGATTAATATCCAGAATATATAAAAATCTTCTAAAAACCAACAACAGAAGAAATAACCTGATTTAAAAAAATGGCAAAGTACTTGAATATATATTTCTCAAAGAAGATATATGAGTAATCAATAAAGACATGCAAAGATATTTAACATAATCATTAGATAAATGCAATCAAAACTGCAATGAGATACAACTGCACACACATTAAAACAGTTTTTATTAAACAGTAAAGAAGGATGTAGAGAAACTCAACACTGCATTGCTAATGGTAGTGTAAAATGATACACCTGAGGTAGAAAACAGTATGACAGTTCCTCAAAAAATTAAAAGAATTATCAAATGACTCATCAATTCCACTTCTAGCTAAAACTTGAAAACAGATCTTGAACATTCATGCTTTATTCATAATATCTAAAATGTAGAAGCCTCACATGTATCGATGACAGATGAATGGACAAGTGAAATACATACACAAATGGAATGTTATTAAGTCTTGTTTTTTTAAATATGTATTTATTTATATATACAGAACTGGGGTATAGGCCAGAGGTGCTGGGGGCGGGGGTGGCAGGAGGAGAGATGATTCACCAGAGACAGAGTGGGGAGCTGAACAGGCAGACTTAAGTATACTGCTGAAGGGAGCAGTGGGCAGATCAGGAGAGGTCTGCCACACCATATGGGTCACCTCCCTGGCCGGGGATTGAACTTTGAATTTCATATTCAAATAGTGTACTAGCCCCCGCTTAACTTTTCTAAAGCATTTAGAATGTAGTATCTGTAAGTTGCTTGGTGTGTATTTCCAAGCAATAACAACAGTTGAGAAATTCGAGATCTTAATTAGTTTGCTATATTATATCAGAATTAAGCATTAGTACTCCTCTTTTGTTCATGTGCTAGGTTAAATAAAGTTATAGAAGTGGTTCCCTAGGTCAGTGTTAAAATGTTTATAAAAGATTTTATTATGTTTTTAGGTTAGACAAGTTAAATGCACTTGAAGTTAGCAATTCTGAGTTATTTAACTGTGGTGCTGGATTTTCTCTGTCTGGAAGTCAAACTTTTAAGGTTTTTTCTTTTTATAGTAATTTGCAAAGAAGTTTTTCTGTTAGCCTTTAATGAGAAGTTTATGTGTATGTACACATGTGTATATGCTTTTAGGTTTATGATTAGGATTTTGAAGTATCAAAAGAAATGCATAGTTCTTAATAACTAGTAAAGAACATCTTAATAACTTTTATGCTATCTGTCAAACACCTCGAAAAATGGGTGAGTATTTGAAGAATTTTAGTTGGACATATTTGTATCATGTGCAGAAAACTAAATATGGTTTAGACTTTTGATCTGTTACTCTTTTTTTTATAAACCATTATTTAACCTGTTGATTTTAGAGTATCTAACTAGAATCTGTAAAGTCTTCAAGAATAAGAATTTTATCTAATTTTTTTTGTGTTCTTTACATTGGACCTGAAAGCTTACATCGTAGTGCTTCCATAAATTTAAGATAATAAAATGTCCTTTTTGTTTAATCTTTTGGGCGAGAGTTGTTTTTTATTGTGGAAGACAATTGACTTTACTCTGATTTTGTTCCATTTGTTTTCTTTTCACAGTCCCATTGATAAACCGTCAGATTCTCTCAGTATAGGGAATGGTGATAATTCCCAGCAGGTAAGATTTTGCTATTCTATCAATTCGTTTATCTGTTATTCTTCCAAAACAAGACATTTTTATATAAGTGAATTTTCTAGACAGTAAAAAAAAAAACACTTTCTGTACAGAAACCATTTTAAAATGCTTTTAGTGAACATTTTTTGTTAAATGCATTTTTAGCCTCATAATTTAACCTTTTCTTGATGGCTCAGAATTATCAATCCCATGTGTCATTGTACTGGGTGGCGTTACCGTAATGATCTTTGAGCTTATTGATATTACTGATCTTTCAACCATATCCAAAATAGTCCCAGGTTAGTAGTATATCTCCTGTAGTTCTTGATTTTAAGGATTATTTCTCTGCTGTAAGTTCCCCTTATCCTCAGCTGGTGACTTTATTTTCTATTTTTGTCTGAGTACTCATCCCCAGTTTCTTCTTTCTACAAATGACTTTGGGTTTTGAATGGTAAATAGTTTTATTTAAAATTACAAACACAATCAAATCCTGAGTGAGCTTCTGATTTTTAGAATCTGCTTTACGTCTTCTTATCTAGTTGTTAGTTTTTCATTGTTTAAAATTCTGTACATTTTTTTACATTGGTAGAAAAAAATAATAGCTTTAATTTATTATTTTCTAATTATATATATATAATTTTAATTTCTTCCATAAAGAATGACAAGTTCACCACAATGTTTGTAAGAAATTGAAGAGATCTGTAATATAGAGCTTCTCCAAATTTTTGCTCACAAATTTTATGAAATAATTTAATAATCTTGTACTTTTTAGATTTCAGTTAAAGATTTTTTCATAAGTTGAATGTAGTTGCAAAAGATGTAATTTCCAGCATAGTATAAACATTTTTACTTTTAAATAAAAGCATTATAAGGCTTTCAATCTTAGAAATTAAATTATCAGACTATTTTGTTATTCCATCATCCGTTTTAAAACATGGCCAACCTTCTTGAACAACTAGAAATTTTACATCATTCCTATTCTTCCTTGAACTCATTTTTCTTTTTCACTACCATTACAGACTTTTTTCCTTAATGCAGTATAATTTATGCTTGACAGGAATATATTTCTTTCAAATTTAAAGACAAAAATATTTTTGTTGACATGAGACTTTACATTCCAAATTTCTTCTGAATTGTTTATGTAGTTTTGGTTTAATCAAAGTAAATTTACACAGGAATAGAATTTGATAAAAATATGTCTTTAAACATAAACATTGGAAACATATTAGAAGTCCATCCTTAATGAGCTAACTAGAGCCATTTAAATTTAATTATCAGATTACTGCCTTTAGGTAAAGATTACTACCTTTAGGTAAAAGGAGGTAGTTTCCAGCAGCAACTCTTATCCTATCTTTATTTTTTTAAATGTTTATGTTGAGACATCTTGTTCTTGTAGCAAAGTGAAAGGAGTGACATCAGTATCATTCACATCTTTGAACTCCTTCTCAGTTAAATACCTAGATTGTATTAAGATTTATTCTATAAGGTATTTTTAATGACATTTTAGGAAATAACTTGATTTTGATTTTTGTTCAAAAATTAAAAGTACTAGAAATCGCCTAGTTTGCAAAAGAATCTGTTATGAAAGTCAGTCACCCATCACTCTTATGCTATTTCTAATAAATTTTTGTTTTACATCCTAGGAAGTTTTTCTTCTGGAGCAAAATGCTCAAGAGAGTGAGAAATGTATATTCCTTTGAAAAGTGAGAGAAGTTAGATTGTAAAAGGAAAGGACATCAACTTTGTCTTTTAGAGGGTTGGTTTTAGACAAGGAATACTTGGATTTCTGAATATTCATATTCTCATAAAAAAGCACTCAAGTATTACTGATTGACGATCACTGCTGTTACTGTAGCCCTGTTAATTATGGCTTATTAAAAATGTGTAAATTCATATTGATTATTCTTTTCTTTCTTATTTAGATATCTAATAGTGATACACCTTCACCACCACCTGGTTTATCAAAATCCAATCCAGTCATCCCCATCAGTTCATCCAATCACAGTGCACGGTCACCTTTTGAAGGGGCGGTAACTGAGTCACAGTCTTTATTCTCGGACAACTTTCGCCATCCTAACCCTATCCCCAGTGGGCTTCCTCCTTTCCCCAGTTCCCCACAGACATCCAGTGACTGGCCTACAGCACCAGAACCACAGAGCCTCTTCACGTCAGGTATATGACAGTACTGCCTCGTGAGAGTGATTACACTCAGACTAATATGAAACCCTTGAGTATGTTTTTTATCCTTTTTCTCCCGACTCCTTTTTTCATAAAAGTCATAAACATTTAGACTGTGTAGAATTGGATGGTTAGATTAATTGTTGAATGACCTAGAACTTACTGTATTAACAGATTTTCCAGAAATCAAGGGTATAGATTATTTTTCTGATAATTAAATGTGTATTTTTCTAGGAAATATAGACTTATATTTAATCTATTTGCTTTTGTATAATTAAATTTAGAGTATTTTCCCCATGTTGCATTCCACTGAGAAAGAGATATGTTAATATTAAAAAGTTATGTTTTGACATTTATGAGCCATTTCCATTTTTATTCATTATTACTTAATGTGAAGAGTGGCATAAAATTAACATTTACAATAGCACCTGTGGACAGTTTAAAAAATGGTAAAAATTAGATCCATTTTTCATTAAACTACATTTTCAGAGCTTATAAACATTGTATATTTAAAAATATTTAGTGATAATTACATTTTTTAAAAATAAACTTTTATAATTGCTAGATCACATTCGTTACGATTTCATTTAAATGACTTACTCTGGGTTTTGATTGCAAATGGTTGACAATATGATTTGAATATCAAATACTTTGTTTTCTTTTCACAACAAAATCAATTTATATCAATCAGCTGTTAAATTGGTGATTTAACAGTGAAAGTACTGCTAGAGGGCCTCCCTGGTGGCACAGGGGTTAAAGTCTCTGTGCTATCACGTGATTAGCAGTCACTGCAGTATGAGTTTGATCCCCAGCCAGGGAACTGACCCACACAGTGCAGCAGACCTCTCCTGACTGGACCGATGCTTCCCTTAGCAGTGTATGTACTTCATCATTCGGCCTGTTCTGCTCCCCACTCTGTCTTTGGTGAATCTTCCAACCCTTCCCCAGTCCCTCCACACCTCTGGCCTAGACCCCATTTCTTCTATGAATGAATAAATAAATCTTTAAAAAAAATTATTGCTAGAAAAATGAGACCTTTTGTAATTTTATAATCTTGATGTGCTAAGAAAACATACCGATTTTGCATAAATTTGACTTATAAGATGACCAGGTAGTACAGATGCCCTGTAAGTATGGAAGTGACCTGTATATTTTAAACTCATCACTATTTTTCTTCCCACCAGAAACAATTCCAGTATCGTCCTCAACAGACTGGCAAGCAGCATTCGGCTTTGGTTCTTCTAAACAACCAGAGGATGACTTGGGATTTGATCCCTTTGATGTCACTCGAAAAGCCTTAGCAGACCTGATTGAAAAGGAACTGTCAGTCAAAGACCAGCCTTCCCTTTCACCCACATCTCTTCAGAACTCCTCTTCACACACTACAACCGCCAAAGGTCCAGGCTCGGGATTTCTGCATCCTGCTGCACCTACAAATGCCAACTCTCTCAATAGTACCTTTTCAGTCTTGCCACAGAGGTTCCCTCAATTTCAGCAGCACCGAGCGGTTTATAATTCATTCAGTTTTCCAGGCCAGGCAGCCCGCTATCCTTGGATGGCCTTTCCACGCAATAGCATCATGCACTTGAACCACACAGCAAACCCCACCTCAAATAGTAATTTCTTGGACTTGAATCTCGCGCCACAGCACAACACAGGTCTGGGAGGGATCCCTATAGCAGGTAGGTTCATTTCTAGCCTTTGAGCATTTGTGAGTAACTCATGCCTTCAGGTTGCTGGGTGGGCCTGGGAGGGAGCTGTTGAATAACAGGGAGCACTTATCATTAGTCTTGGAAAATTCTGTGGGAGAAAAATTAAAGTCCTTGTCATAACCTAAACATTTTTTAATTGGATATCCGGATGCCTTGTAATATTGAGCTTTATAAGGATGGTGGAGTATTATACTTAGTTACTAGAAAGCATTTTACTAATGTCAAACTTCTATGTGGCACATAACTGCAAAAAGAAAAAATGGGCTTTGAAATTATGGTGCTGTAAAGTCCATCACCATGGTAAAAATTGTGATCACACATTCTGAATGTGAGCTGTTCAAAACAATTTTTTTAAGATGGTAATTAATTAGTGAGAGCATCAGGGATAAAGCCACCCTGTGACTACTTCTGGCGATTACTTTGACTGAGGCACACATCCACACACATGACAAGCCTGTGCTATATATTAGTAAAGTACCTGATACTTGAGAACTTTGATTATTAATGTTTCACAGACCTACCATATGTGACTATCTGTGAAAAAAAATTTTTTTTAAGGAGAGAGATTTTCCCTTTGGTTGTCAAGTTTTTATTTCTGGGGAAAATATTAGGTTCCTGTAAGTGGCTTTGTACTTACAGGAATTTCTGGTTTTCTACTGCTACCCTTGAAGGTTTCAGAACTCTTGGGTCTTAATGTCCCTTTTAACATTTTTGAGATCAAGTGACATCTGTAGCTACAGGAATCATTAATAGTTTTTCATTTAATTTGGGCTTTAAAGAATGACTGGTATAAAAGAGAGTTTGTTCCTCTCCTGATTCTGTCAAGTAAAATAAAATAGTTCCTCACTGTTACATATTCATAAACTTACAGGTTATCCCTTTCCTTGACCTTTAAGATCAGGCATGGCACAGTGTTTCTTTAATAATGTGCTCTTACCAGCAGAGTATTTGTCCTCCTGTTTTTAGAAAGGGTAATAGATGAATTCACAGAGCTCCATCAACATTCTTTGCCTCTAGGCCCTTTGTGACCAACATTGAATTTTCAGTATAGTAGGTGGGTTATGAGAACAAGGTTTGTGGCTGTTGATACAGTGAAGTTAATTGTTGGTACAATGAAATTAATTTATTTACAGTTAATAGCACCTAGCAGTGCTTGCACATTGGTGGGATTCATGTACTTGTTTAGTAAGTAGGTAACCTGGGGTGACGTTTTTCAGTCCTCCCTTCCACATGATATTCACTTGTGAGATGCCAAGTGTTCCTTTCCTTATGCTTCTTTTTTTCTTCCACCCAAGACAGCATATTAGAGTGTAATTTGGTCTTTATTGTTTTAATTATTTCAAGATGTGACATTTATTATCTCATAATTGATTATAACATTAAAATTTAAAGTTAAATTCCCCTAAGTATCCTAAATACTTAAAAATAAAACATTAAGCCATTTAAAATGAGCTTTTGGGTTTCTATTTGCCCCATGGTGAACTAGGCCACATGGCTAACAAAAAGAGATATACTGTCTTCAGGTCCTTTACAGTGTAGTTGAAGAGGTAAAGTTAAGATTATGTATGAAAGTGATAACTATGAAAGTAGATGCTGAGAAAAACATCAGTGGAGCATATAATTGTTGGGGTGGCTTTATTGATGAAGTAGGCATTGATCTGTTTGTCTCATGTTCTCTTGGATTTGGTTAGTAGGAGGGAAAGAGGAGAACCTTTTATGTTGATGAAAGCTCTTGAATAAAGGCATAGAGGCAGCAAGTACTGTGTCATCACATTAAGAAGCAATAGCATTGCCTTCTGCAACAGGAAGTGCTTGATATCCTGTACAGATAGAATGGATGAAATGATGGGGTGTGCTGACAGCAAGGCAGGCAGTGTGGACTACATTAGGAAGGAGGGTGTCTTGTGGAACTCTTGTTCTTAGCTGACTTCATCTTGTGCTTTTATTTGACTTAGTACATGACCATCTCTGATCAATTTTCTTCTTGGTTTCAGTTATCGTTACTGTCCATTAGCGCATAAAGAGCAGTTTTAACCCAAATACTCAAGCCAGTAGATATTCCGGAAATGCCACAGTGGTAATGAATAGTGATTTGTGATTGTGATTGTCTAAATGTTAGTTATTTGAAATCTTCAGCTAAAGGAACTTTATGGAAACAGAATGTGGCATTAAGTTACAGGCCTAACTTTGTGGGTTTTTTCCTTTTTAACACCTGATTATATAGCATTAAATACTCTTTCTTCTCAGAAATACTAAGTCACCAACTGTAGGTTCTGAATCGTTATCTTTAGGGGGAGGTGGGGAGGATTTGCTCTCTCAGATTTTCAGTTTTCTGCTGTGTATACTTACTTGCTATTTAAATGGTGACTTTTATTAAGCTTATTATTAGCTTATTTTTAAGGCTCTGATGACTACAGAAATTTAATTTTAAATGTGCCAAAATATTTAAAATTGTTATAAAGAATCATTCAGACTGCTTTCATGGCTTATAGATAATTGACAGCTACCTCAGAGAAACAATGCGTTAAGCCTCAGAATAGTTGTATAATTGTCAGATGATTTAGGATTTTCAGAAACAGCAATAACAGAGAGTAACATTCTTCAAAATGATGTGCATCCTCACTGTTTATTTCATACCTAGGCAGTATCTACTCCCTTCCCCCAAGTTGTAACTCAGTTGTACTGAAGTTGCACTATTGACATAGGCTCAACTTTGCATCCTGTAGTGGTTATCCTGGTGTCTTACTTAGTTAGAGCAGCTGTTGCAGGCTTGGCTTTGTAATGGACAGCAGATGTTGTTTCAGTGAGACCTGCCTCGTGGTTATGTTTAAACAATATTCTGCATTAGAAAAGGGGAATATGTTTATTCTTTGGATAAGCAGAGCAAACTAGGATCCCTGCCTGTCGAGCAGTCACCTAGCTCTCACATAGGTAGCAAGTCTATGTTTGTTCTGTATTTAAATTTTTGCTTTGGTTTGTTTCAGCTCATTATTAAAGATTAGTGTATCTGAAACCTATCATGGGAAGGACAGTTGCCAGAGGTTTGACACATTGTGGCTTTCATTTTCCTTTGCATAACTGGAATGTTTTTGTGCTTAAAATTAGGTACTTTCTTAATCTGTGAAATCTTTTTAGCAGCGTTTTCTTGGCTGCATATCCAGTTTGGTTAGGAGAGTTTTTGAAATTTTTTGAGGGAAAACTTTGATTGTAGGCAATTATAGTGAGTCCTTTCAGATCTTTTTTTATTACTGGAACTATGTGCTTTTACTTTAGAAAATGACTAACCTTGCCCAATTCCTGCATTTTAGGATTGTCAAAATTATGTCCAGAAAGGTTAAATTACTTGTTAAAGTGACATGTTCAATTAGCAGTAGAGTTAGGATAAGAACCCAGCTCCACATCCAGTTATTGAAGTGTTTTTTCACCACAACACTGATGCACTCCATCATATATGAAAATCACTTGGCTTTCTTCCCGTAGTAATTGATTGTTGCTCTCACATACTTGAAGGTTCCTTTTTATCAACAATACCTATTTGTGAAAAAATTAGCTCAGATCAGGGTTATGGCCTACAGTTTTTTAAAAGATGAATGAAATTTATTCGCTTGATGAAAATTCATCTCTTACTTAGCCCTCCTTAGTACCATGCTTTTACCAACAACTCTAGTCTAAATTTCCTTTTATCAGTCTCCTTGCTATGTACTTGGGGTTTATCGACTCTTTGCCAATTTACTGGAAAAATATGAAATAACTTGTTCTAAAGACTGAAAGTCTTTTTCTTCACAATATCAGTTAAGCTGTCTTTCTAAATGTAATATTGCAGAATTGTTTTTCAAAGAATTTCTGCCAGGTGTTTTTATTCCATAATGCTCAAAATTATTTGGAAAACAAATAATAATAAGCCTAAGTCTGTAAGCATTGTTTCAAGATCTACTTAGAAAAATACTTGAAACTGTTCAGGGTTGGATTTTTTCATGTGTTTTGTTAATTCAAATTTTACATATGAGGGCATTTTTCTTTGTTTCTGATTTAGCCATTTTTACAGTGACTTGATTGAATTTTGAGTCATGGGTGAAACAAGTCACTTGTAGTCATATAACTAGGACAACTGATCTCATTTCATGTATGGTTCTCTGACCTAGAAGTAGTCATCTCACTTTCAGTCAATTGGATCATTGTATTCTTAGCATTTCACTATTTTCCAGTTACTTCAAAAGTACACATTGAATTTTCAGATGCTGTTAATTTTCTAAATTAATATATCAATTTATTTCTTTTTACTACACATAATTTCTGCTTTTCAAACATGTTTGTGTTTTTCCTTTCTAAAAATCTCATTTTCACTTCTGTGAATTTAGTTTTAATTTTTTCACAAAATACTACTCACCTTAGGAGTATCTGAATTTCTAAGGGGTCCAATTGGCTTGGAAAAGAATGGCTTTCCTGGTCTCTCTCTTTTTTTTCTTTTTGTATATTTATAACCCTGAATCTGTTATATTTGTTCTTAAATCTAACATAGTATTAAATTACGGGTGTGTTTAGAGTGTAACTACTTTCTAGGTACTTGCTAAGTTTATATTTAAAAATTCATGTTTTACACCCGGATTCCAACCGTTAAGCATGTATTTTATATATGTATCAGTATTCCAGATAATGAAATCATTTTTAAAGGGACTGTTAACAAATCTAGTCACCCATAACTAGACCATGACTGACTTTTCCACAGGGGAAGAAGAGGTGAAGGTTTCGACTATGCCACTGTCAGCCTCTTCCCATTCATTACAACAAGGACAGCAGCCTACAAGTCTCCACACTACTGTGGCCTGACAACAGAACTGAGAGGAGAGGATTAGACTCTGGGGTGCTTGCATGGGCAACCGGATTTTTGCATGATTCCTTTCTGATTCTGCATTTAATGTATACACCCAAAAGAGCCAATATAAACGTTCCTCATGCCTACAACTAGTGTGTTACCTCATAGTTGCTAAAGTATTTCTTCATTAGGCCTTTAACACAATTTATCAGCATAATAATTTTGGCATTGTTTCTCATGAGTGATAATATTTTTAACTCACACAAATAAACTTGTAGTACTAATTAAGATCCCAGCTGAGATTAGCTAGAATTGTTCTTATTTGGCTATATTACTGAAAATATACAAAGGTAATAGTAGTACTTTGTTTTCTGGTTTGTGAAAAAAAAAAATGGTAATATCCTAATATACTCATGAAATTTTGGAAATTAAGATCATGTCTATTACATTCTTTGAATAATTGAGAAGAAAGAATACATATAAAACAGAATTGGTGGTGTCATTTAATGCTCAGAAGGATGTTGTCAGTAATTGTTTTTAGTTGTATGGATTTATATCCTATATTATGAAATTACATGTTTAGAAACTGTTCTTGTTCTCTCATTTGCACATTTGCACTTTCATTTTGAATGGTTGTTAATTATATATAGACAGTTAAAAGATAATTATTATAGACTAAATGCAATATAATCTCTTTTCTAATGCACTGCCTAGTATACCAGGAAATGCCTCAGAAGTGGAATTTCAACTTAAAATTGATTATTAGAAACTTGAATAAGGGGTACATGTTGTGAGAAGCAACTATATTAGTATAACATTTTTATTGAAAATGCAGTAGTTGTGAGATATGTTTGAAAATTTCATTGTTTAATAATTAAAATGTGATAATAAAACTATATCACAAGTACTTGACCAGAATGAGATTAAGGGGGAAGAGAAGAGTTTGGGAGTGTGCTAAAATTAGGTCACTTAAGTTGTCACAGATAAAAAGTTAATCATGGAATGGAGGAGTGCTTGATTAGGATACAATATAAATTGGTGTTTTTGGGTAGTACACAAGGTCTTGAAATAATTTTAAACTGATAATGAAAGAAAATAAATTGAATTCAATTCTGAGCAATAGACAAAAGCTGAATTCAAAAGACATGACCATTTTCTGCCCAAATTACACATTCAGGGAGAAAGAGGAAAGTCAGGTCTCTTCTTGAGAGTTGCAAAAAACAATTGTGATGAAAGATATATTTTAATTTGTTAAAAGTATTAAAAAGGTTATGCAGCAACCAAAAAGGAAGACTAAAGATTTAAAATAAGATTTAATAATAACTTTATTAGAAGATGACCCTAAGTTAAGTATTATGCTGGAGTTTTCAAGATTACTTCTCTATAGTAAGTCTGATTACTTTCTGTTAGGTATAATACAACAAATTAAATAACTTCGTCTTGATGTATAGTGGCGGTAAACTAAAATCTGTTTTTAGATGTCCTTCAGTTTGATTAACAGGGTATAGAAACAGCTAATTAAATAGCCTTTGAAATTATTTTTATTAAATTTGGGGCAATTGAAAACTTGCTCATTCTTATTTAGAAGTGATTTTAGTACAGCATTATAAGAAATCTAGAAAATACAAATGCAGTATTGTAGACTTACACAGAAGCCTTTTGTCATGGGTAATTATGGTTTCATTTTTGCTGGAAGAGGCCATGACATCCATTTGATGCCTCCTGTGGTGCTAAGGCTGCTGGCCTTTGTTAACACAGAGGCCCTTCTCCAGCCTTCACTCCACGCCTTTCATCACCTGGGTCTTCTTAACAAATCTCCATTTACTCACTTTCTCTACTGAGAGATGCACATGTTAAACAAGGCTTCTTTCCTGTGGTATCTTTCTCTCATGTTTCCAGCCAATGCCAAAAATCTGTCAGGTAGTTTGCCCAGACTTGCAAGACCCCCACATAGATTTTCTAGATCTGTCTTCCTATGAGCTTTTTTTTCTTGCCACACTTCCACACAGTCTTATGTCAGAAAAATGGTCCTTGGTCAGTAAGGCTTGAATTTACGTACTTTGATATGAAATAGCTGAAGATTATTGTATAACTTTGTAAATTGCAATATCTTATAAACCTAAAAATAATAAGCCTCAGAGTTTTGCTTACTTAGCATTTCATATGTATATTTTTTAAAGTGAATTCTTAAAATCTTGGCATTAATTATATTAAAGTATACAAGAAATTATGCAACACATGGAAGAAAGAACTGCTTGACATGGCAAATCAAAGATGATGCCAAATGATGGTACAGAATGAGAAATCCTAAAAAGCTTCAGATTAGTTTTTGATACATACTTCATGATTAATCTGTCATATACAAGGGGAAGCTTTATATGCTTTTGTATTCAAATCCTTTAACAAGCAACAAATCTGTTCTTTAGAGCAGCTGTTTTAAACCTGAAGTCTTTGAAAGTAAATACAAAGCTGTGATTTTTGGGGGGGTGGGGGGATAGATATATATATGTCTGCTTTATTCTTGGAGAAGCTCTGTGGTTATTAGGTTTGTAAAGGGTTTGCTGACTCTCCCCCAGAAAGAAAAAGTTAAGATCTGCTGCATAGAATTGTTTTTAGCATCACTGTAGGAGAAGGAGACCTCCACTGAATGATTTTAGTCATGCCCGATGAATGTCAAGTGCCTCTTGATTTTCATGGATTCCATTAGAAAATATTTTCTGAATTAATAATACTTTCTTTTTCATTCTGTTGAATTTTGTTTTTCCAGGTGGTGCTTTTGTATACTCTCCCTTATTTCCACAGCCCATTAATTAAATATTTGAGTGCCTCTTCTGTGTAGTGACCTGAGTTAGGTCTTAAGGGATACAAGATCAAATAAAGTACAGACCCTGTCATCAAGGGTAACATTCTAGTGACAGTTTTATTTCAAATAAAATGGCTTTGTCTTAAGGTGTAGTGGGGTAAACGAGTATCTGTTCTTAGGTATCACTGAATTTGGTTAACTGAGGGTGTCAGAGCCTTACTTCTGTAAGGTCAGTTTTGATATATTTCAATGACAAGACCAGCTGTAGCAGTCCTGACTCATATGCTTATTCATCTCTCTGACAGTGGCAGTAAAGAGTATTGAACACTGATACTTGACATTTTAAAATTTTAATTGAGAGAGTGGAAAAAAATATCCATGAGGAAGCCTAATACTCAGTATTTAAGTATTTCTCAGTTGTGTGTGTGCGTGTGCGTGTGTATGTCTTTTTGTTTAGTGTTCTGAGAGTTATCTTGAACTTTCTGTTTATGTTCCTTTGAAGAAAACAGCATTCTTTAAAGCATTGTAGCTGCACATTTTTACTGACTGGGTTCCTATTTGTACAGTATTCCAAGCAGCTTCAAGACTGCCAGAGGTCTCTTCTGCTGTGACACAGATCAATAGGGAATTACTGCCACAGAGCCACTGCCTCACAAAGCCAAGAGAAAGGAACTAAGTGCAGGTGCATTGAAATCTTAAAAATAAAGATATTATTGTTATTGATATATAAGTAAAACTGGGAGACATTTTATCTTACAGAGTTGTAAGGTTTTATATTGCTTGGTCATGAAAGTTTCACAAACCTGCTTAACTGACTTTAAGAAATGGATGCCTTACAATTGAAAATACAGTAATTTTTGAAAAAATATAAAGAGGTGATAACAAAACATTTTTAGGTCTTTTTCTGCAAGATAAGGCTAAAGTCAATAATTGGTATTAAGTTAGAACTTTTTCCCTTAGAGTTGTATCTCTTTGCCCTCCGCCTTTTTATGTGATCTGGTATCCACTCTGTGTCTCCCTTTTCTGAATAAAATAGCAGTAATACATGCAGGTAGTCACACACAGTATGTTTGATGAGCTAGTCAGACAGTATGATGCTATCAGAGTAAAAATGGGATTTAGAGAAAAAAGTTAATTGAGCTAAAAAGTGTAGGACTTTTTTGTTTTGAAGAATGGCTTATATTTAGGAGATGGAAGGAGAAAGTATAGTAAAGGAATGGACTGCAAAAAGAACCTGAGGCATAGGAGGGAAGCACAGTAAGGAGCTGAACTTGTTGAGGTGTGACGGTCATGTGGGGAAGGTGGGTAATTGCTAAAGCTTTGCAAATGAGGAAGAAGAGCTTATACTTGATGTAGGTATAGACAGAGGACTATATATAGGTAAAGATTTAACTTGAATGTGGTGTTTTAACATGATTAAGTTGGGAATACATTTGCTTGGAATTGGGACCAGTTAGAAATATGTTTTTGCTGGCCAGTGCACTTACATGGCCTCTACTGGACCAGTAATAGCAATGTAAAGGAAATATGATCAGAAAGCATTAGGTTTAAGAAAGGGCCTTTGCATTTGAATAGGTCTTTGGTGGACTTAAAGAACACAACTTTCATAGAAAAAGTACATATGGAAGCCAGATTCCTGAGAAAATGTTAAGGTTGTGGGTGTAGTGGTCCTTGGCTACTCAGGACCACTGAGTAACAAAGGGGAAAAGAAAAGCACAGTGTTCGCTGAGGGCGAGTAGGTTAGGTCATAGACATTTGTTTTAAGATGAGGAAGGTACCTGATTATTTTAAGTAGGATATACGGAGCCAATTTAGAGGAAGACATGGGCCATCCGAGAAGATGGGCTCATCTATTAGGATCACTGGTTTCTTAAGGTGCTGGGAGGACTGAGATGAGGTTAGGTTGGAGGTTTAGCTTGAAGAGGTGGAATATATCTTCCCCTGTTATTTAAAGAATGAGAAAATTCTGGGAGATAATGTGAGATGAGAGAAAATAAGACTGGATGAAGGGGCTCCAGTTAGCAGTAGGTGAAGAAGGATCTTTCTCATCTCACTTTAGAGGTGAAGAAGAAAAAGTCACAAAGATACTCAAGACAACAACTCTCATGTACCTAACCTTGTGGTAGGAAAGAACCAGTGATATGTTTTGAAGGGAGTTGAGTCATTTTTAGATTTTGGTGGTAGGCAGTGGACATTGTCAAGGGAATGACAAATCAGGAGGCTTTGTCAGTGGTTAGCTGCTTAGCACTGAATGCTGAGTGAGAACCAGGGGAAGAATGGGAGGTGGAGTCAGCTCTGTGACTGGAGCTGGAAAGAGGGCAACTCGTTCATCACCCTCATGGTCTCTTCTTTACTGCCTTTTCCTCTAGTCTTTTTCCTGAGAGTAGGAAGATTTTCTGAAGGAACTGTAGAAAACCTGATCATTGCCTGGGGAATCCTGGGTCAGGAATCCTATCAGTTAAAGATGAGACAAAAGGAAACTGCCCTTTGTTGAATGAACAGGTCTTCTTCCTCAAAATATGGTAGGAGAACGTGGAAATAGTTCAGAGAAAGGCCTGGAAAAGCCAGGTTTGATATTGGACACATGTAGGAAAGCCCAGTTAAAAGATAATGCTAGATACATATTTATGATGTGAAGGATTTAAGCGGAGGAAGGTGGTGCGGCACGAAGGTCTTGTCATGAAGGAACCCGTATGGCAGTTACCAGCTGCTTTCTCCCAAGCTCACACACACTGGAAAGAATCAGCTTTCCACCTGCATGTGGAAAGTAACACTTCTTGCTTTGTTGGACTAGGTCATTCTGCTTTATTTATGTAGCAAATTGGGATTAAAAGCACTAGATAACTAAAGAATGGAGAAAAGAGAAATTAGAATTTTATCACAACAGATTGTATATTTAAAAAATTTCCACCCAAAGAAAATGTTTTGTATGCGTATATACAAACCAATCAGCTGTTGAACTAGTCTACTCTTGATCCTTATGTCTGTATACTTAGATGTAACTTTTAGGAAAAGTTGCTGAAGCTGTTTTGCTTCAGGAATGAATATAGAGACATCGTTATAGACACAGATACATAACATTTTCCTCATGATTCATTAATAGCAATTTTGTTTAATTTGGAAGCACCCTTAGATTTCTGTTGCTGAAATATTTTAAAAATCACTGGGCTTGTTCCATATATGTCATCTGAAATATCAACTGTTAGATTTAAAAATGATAATACTTCACAACGCAAGGCAATGCTCAAGAATACTATTTGTGAAGCCATGCTGGTGCATGGAGAAGCCACTGTCTTGATGTCTTTACTGTCCCAAATTTGCTGTCATGAGTGGTATTCCTAGCAACCTTACATCACTGAGCACACCAGTCTTCAGCCTCTTTAATCAGGATCTTTTTTCAAAGAAGCACTCTTGAGAAATCAAGATTCATTAAAGAGATTGTTTCACAGTGTGTTTGAGTCTGTACTGAATTTGAGCTATACAGAAATTGAGTTTATACCTATTTGTTCCTGAGTCCTAAAGGCAAAACCTAAGCAGTCTAGCCATTTGAGAACTGGATGTTCCTAGAATTTCCATAAAACAACTGGAAATTGCTGCACGTGAGTTAATCCATTTTCTCCAGGTCCCTCAGACCACACTTCTAAGGCAATCATTGATTTGACTTTGCTCTTAGACTACTTCCTATGTTATGGTTATTCTAAAGCTCCAAACTGACCCTGGAACCGGTTGCTTAGGGCAGTTTTGATGTTCCAGCTCCTGTTTGGTCCTAAGAGTCCCTATTGTGCTCTGTTACAAAGCAACACCCCAAAAGTCATTCCCCCCACCATTTAACAAATAAAGCCTTTAAAGTACCCAGTACCTTTTTAAAAAATTGAAGTGAAATTCATATGACATACAATTAACTGTTTTAAAATGTACAAGTTAAGTGAACCAGGGCTGTTTTTAAATTATCTTAATGTTAGAATAGCAGAATAAATAACCGACTCCAGCTGTGAAAATTCGGGTCTGTTCCTTGTTGGGGGTATGTGGTAATAGCTGTATCCAGACCCAGGCAGCTAAAAGGCAAACGTAAAACTTGAAAAGATTCCTTCCTTCTTCACAGTAGTGCTGCTTAAACGGTGGGTGAAAGCAACTTTTATGCCCCATCTTCCAAAACCAGTGGTGGGAGGAAGAGATGTAGGCAAGAACCCTTAATTTACTTGCTTTTACTGTGCAGGTAAAATATTTGAGGCAGCTGTCTGGAGATTTGAAATGGCATTAATGTTTCTGTCTTCATGACATTTAATCGGCATTATGTAAGAAAAGGTCTGCTTGACAGAGGGTAGGCCCAGCTCTGTATGGACGCGGGGTTGATTAGGTGTGTGCATGCGTGCTTGTTGGGTCATATACGGTAAATTTTACTTTATTAGTGACTAGCACAGGAAAAGTGTTAGGCTGTCTCTCTCTGACTTTCATACATTCTTGCTGTGTGTGGATTAATTCATGTGTTCAAGGTAAATGTTCTATATTCTTTAAGGGTTTTTTATAAGTAATAAAGATCTATTAAGTGCAATGAGGTGCAATACTGGTGCTCGCCTCACCTCTGGTCAAGTTTATCTGAAGAAATGTTTTTAGAACCTTTTCTCATCAGGTTTCACTTCTAGATTTCACCCATGTCACGTTCATTGGGTAACCTATGGACTCCTAAGAAAAAAAATATTTATATTAAAATCTTGAAGACCTGAGAATAATCAAGGTTCATGGACTGTGATTTGCCCATAGTCCCTTTCTAACCACAATTTAAAGTTCTGTTAGCCTTCACCACCTGAATTTGCTGCCATACATATAATTCACTCAGAAAAAAAAAAAACTTAAAGATTCAGAACATAGTTCTTCCCTGAATTATTCATTCATTTTATCTTCCAGTTTAATTTCACCTGGGAATATCAGTGCAAATAATGACGGTTTTCAAGATGTCTTTTAAAGGCATCTGGTCACAGATCCTGTAAGGTGTCAAAACAGCCCTGGGTTAAGTGTGGCCTCAGAATTTTGGAGTACTGGGGGCGGGGGAGGAGTGACTAATTTTCAGGCACTCTTAACGTAGACTTAAAATAATTACCGATGTCAGAACTAAAATAAAGTGTAAAACAGATGGATTCAATTTACTCAGGA